TTATTGAGTACGAATAGCGCGAAATTTTGAATGGTTTGAAAAAAAATCTCGGAATTCTAGTTTCGCGAATAAAAATTTCCGGTTTTGTCCCTTGTTTTTATCTTTTTTTTTCACATTGGTTTTCGGGATTCCGGGGAATCCATACTTCTCCGAGAAATGAAATCGTATGCTCCAAAACTCTCTCCGAATCGATTTTGAGATTTCTCAGCTGATTTCGGAATTTTTCTCCTCTCTTATAATTATAATGGTTAAAAATACAATCTTTTCTATTGTACGAAATTTAGATAGTACTGAAACCTTGTGAAGTCTGAAGTGTGATTGATGTGTTAATCTTTTGATGGTCATAAGGTGAATTTCAGCTTTTCAACAAAGAATGGAGTTCAAACAAAGCTCTCGCGCTATCCGTAAATCACTTTTGAGTGGTGCTCGGGTTACAGGAAACAAGGTTGACTGCTTTTTCCTGCTCGAATAATTTTCTCCCGTCATAAACTCTGAACTTTTCAATCATAATGTTAGAATTACAAATCTCTTTCCATATGATATGAGCCGGAAAATTTTCATCTCCTCAATTTTCAACATTCTTTCAGAATTTTTCTTTCATATTTCAGACGAATGCCGCTTCACGACAAGTCAACCTGCAAATGTACGACGAGCCGCCGATCGATGATATTTCAATCAAAGAATTTGGTGAAATGGCCTTGAATCGTTTGAAAATTCTTCGATTGCTCGAACAATTTCAGGAACGTTTTGCGGGCAATTTGGATAAAGTTTGTGAAGCACTCTCGAAGGTAGAATTTCTGATTCGTCATCGAATGTCACTGAATATCCGTTTCGATATCATTGCTTCTTTTCACCATAGTTTTGTCCAGTTATAATGTTATTTCCGTAATAGTTTTTGATATGTTAAGGAATTATTGAAACTGATGCCAATTGCATGCGGTATGTGTCCTGATGATAAGTTGGCTGAAGCTAGACGTGAGGATTTGATATCACATTTTATATTGCGGTTGGCATTTTGTAAGACACCTGAACAGACGAAATGGTTGATTCAACGCGAGATTGCCTTCTTCAAATGTCGTTTCCATATGGTAAGATATCATTTGATTCTAGGTTCACGTGATTTAAGTAATGTTTTGCAGCTATTCAAGTTCAAAAAAGCTTGTCACCTGAACCAAGATAATATTTTTTAATTCATTCATTACGTGAATTTTCTGCTGAAGCATAAATAAATGGTTCGAATTAATCAGTGAAGCGTTGTTCGATTAACAGAATCTATTGTCAGCCATGAAACAGCGTGAAATTTCTTCTTTATGAATCAGTGTTAGCTTGTATCTCCATAGGTTAGCATACAAATGATCCCTTTTGATTATCAATGGTTTCAGGAATGCAAAGANAAGATGTCTGAAAGTTTGCCATATTTTATTACTTCATGCCAATTTTCATAACCCGTTATAATATAATGTTTAATATTATAAATCTGCCAGATTATTTTATACTTCGTTAGGTAACATGTATCGGGTTGAGTCATCTTCAATCATTGATATGATTTGAACAGATTACTGCATATAAGCGTGTTCCTTGCTTTACTGATTGGATACATTCTGTTGAAGGATAGAAATCAAGTAATCTGGAAGGTTCGTTTCATTCACGCAGTGGAATGGATCCGTAAAAGGGACGTTTTTGTGCAGGACGGTTACGTTTATTTGCCGAACGATGATGTCTTAGCGATCATTATCGCTAAACTTCGTATTAATATGTCCGCGTCAATGGCGGTTGGTTTTATCGCATTTTATCCATCTCATTCTGAAAACTTTTAGGAACCTTTTATGTTAATTTCATGATATCAGCAGTCATAATATTTCAATACCAAGTTGCAATCAGCTAGTTGTCGAGTTTTCATTGAATATGTCAAAAGAAATAAGATTCCGANTCATAATATTTCAATACCAAGTTGCAATCAGCTAGTTGTCGAGTTTTCATTGAATATGTCAAAAGAAATAAGATTCCGACGAAATGCTCTTAACGTTGAACTGAATGGTTTTTGACAAAATTGTGTGAAATCCCGGTGAAATCTCTTTAGATTACTTCGGATACATCTTGTTCCTACGAAATATGAAGAATTGCTGAATAATGTTTTTACCAATACAACTAAATATGACCTATTTCAGCGCGCTCGTAGCTATTTTCATTTTCTTGATGAAGGCGATCGTTTGTTACCGTTACTGAAAAATATCTCTGAAAGATCTTATGTGGGCAAGGAATATGACGGAAAAGATGCTAAGCGTATCACCGGTGATATGGTTGATGAGGTGCATATTTCTTACTTTTAACTTTCGATTTTTCCATTGTTTTCGCTTCGTTCCACTCATTTATTTACCTCATTGATACGTGTGAATCGTTCGTTATCGAGTTTTCTTTGGCGAGCACACCGATTTTTTCGCCTTTCTTTCATGTTCGTTCGTATGGATTCCATTAACGAAATCTTTCACACCTGTATTTTCCTACAATTAAAGCGAACTGTGCGTCTGAAAATGATACCATTCTAAGAAAGCTGATCATAGAAGGAACCAAAATTAACGGTTATAAATTCGGGTTAACGAAAACGAAGCGTTTCAGTTATCGACGAAATCATTTCCACTGTGTATGCGACAGATTCATACTCGGTTGCGTGTTGATCACCATTTGATGCATTCAGCTCGAATGCAATACGGTCTCTTCTTGAAAGCCATCGGAATGACTCTCGAGGATGCGTTGGCGTTCTTCCGTGCTGAATTCACCAAGAAAGTCGACAGCGATAAGGTTTTGACTTTGATGAGATTCCAGTCGGAATCCGGATTCAAATCAGTGATGTCTAGTTCATGATGAGAAGTGTTAACGGAAGTGTGTCTCTTCAAAAGTTGCACTTTTGAAATTTCAAAAAGAATTTAAATTTGAATAATTTGTTCAGTTCGATAAGCAGTATGCCTATAATATTCGACATAATTACGGCAAAGAGGGCAGTCGTCGCGACTATAAAGCTTATTCGTGTGCTAAAATTATACTCGGTGATGCGCCGACCGGCCAACAATGTCACGGTTAGAAACATTCTAGTATTTTTTGAACAATTGTAGGCAAAACTAACACTTCTTAGCACATATTTTATTAAGATCTCTATAATTCACAATTTCAGGATGTCCTTTTAGACACAACGATGATTTAGAACTCACACGAAAATTGCAAAACATTGGTCTTTCAAATCAGCAAATCACAGCTGTATGTTTCCTTTTTATTTCATACTGTTTACTTTTCTTTCATTTTCATTCGAAGTTGATAAATTTCATCGTTTGTCAGTGTCACATGAATGACAACTCTATACTGGAACTAAAGAACAAATCAAATTTGTCGCATTGTTATAAATTGGTATTATCCAATGAGTTATCGCCTTCAAAGCTAATTTACTTTAGCGATATCTGGTTACTACTAATAAAAAAGTGTCAGTGATAGTGATAATAATAAGTGGCACTTTTGCAAATGACAATAATGAAAATAATCATGGTGATAATACTAAGAGAAGAAATAAATCTGACAGTGATAATGAAGTTTGAGTTTAATGTTGAAGATTTTATCGCTGACGAAAGAGAAAAGCTATGAGCGTGCGTGTACGAGATATTTCGAGTATACGCACAAAATGAGTGAAGGCTCACTTGGAAGTAATATTGCACATCCGAATGAGTATTTTGAATTGTCACGACAGATTTATGATGGAACTAGAAGCAGGTTGGCTCTGCACTTTTTGTTACTGTTATTTTTTGATTTATCACGATAAAAGTTACTGATGAGAACCTAATATCCTTAGTAGTATTACCGTCATCGTGATGATCCACTGTTGGTGCTTTGTACTGCATTCTAATAGCTAACTTACGAACTGCTTATGTTCTATTGTTTACTAATATCACCGATAACACCTTATAGTGCATTGATTGTTCAGCATAAGCAATCTTATTGCTTAAATCGAATATCTTTATTAGAATGGTTCTGTACGATTGCACTTGCAGAGAAACAGTTCCCGTTCATGAGGTATCAATAAGTCATGACAGCCATCGTACACTTAACGATATGAACACATCTAGCATTCAAGAATCGATGGATGTCGACGACAGCGACCTAATCGATCTTGAAGACTAATGATAAAAGTCACTGATAAGAAGAGCCTATCAGTGATGCAAACAATATATAATGAATCGAACACGTCAATCAGTGAATACCTCACGCATCAGTAGTAGCCTATCGATTGAATGTGATTTTTAAACTTCACTATCTTCAACCAATCAGTTTCGCTTCCTGTCATATTGACTTCATTGAATTTAAAAAGTTTACCCGTTCTAATCGTTGTAATATTCGCGGAATG